GCAAGATGGCCACTGTCTTGTGTGTCCACGACTCAGGAAAAACTCTGAGCGCCCTCCAAATCACGGGTGTCCCCACAGAGTTCCAGTCCAGTCCTCCCTCTCTCTGTTGAAGCCCAAGTTGAGTGGCTGTAGCTTATTTAGTACTCTGTCCCAGCCCTCTGTGCTCTTGAGCCTGCTTGGGATTTTAACCCTGAGAGAGCTGCTCACAATTAAAACAGCTGCTGTTCATGGGCTCCCAGCCTGCCCTCTCACACCTCCACAGACCTATCAGGCTTGATTCAGTGTCCTGTTTTTCTGTCCCTTTTTATATGGTCCTCTCCAGCTGATTTTCTGTTGCTTTTTCCCAATGATTTCTCTTTATTTTAATTGTAATTCATTTTGGTCCTGGGAGATATTTGGTGTAACTTCCATTCACTCTGCCACCATTTTGGAAAATTTTCCTTTGGTAGTTTTAAATGCATCTTGAGCTCTTATCAAATTCTTCATGATAAGTGCTCTCATGTGTTACATCATTCTTATTTTGTCTTGCAATTACAATTTTCAGGTGGACTGCACATTTATTGTGGATGCCTGACCATGGTTTTCCCAGTTCACCCTCCTGAATAAGTACCTGTATGCGGAAATAGGTGGGAAAAGAGCTCCTGACTTCTAACAATAGAAGAATCTTTTTCTCTAGAGCATTGGTTCTCAACCTGTGGGTCACAACCCCTTTGGGGGTCGAATGACCCTTTCACAGGAGTCATCTAAGACCATCAAAAAAGACAAATTTTTATGGTCTTAGGAACCAAGACACCACTCCTCTATCCATCTCCAGGTGGGTCTGCCCATATGCAGATACAGCAGCATACAACATGAGGAACTGTATTAAAGGGTCATGACATTAGGAAGGTTGAGAACCACTGCTCTAGAGAGTGACAGTAGTTAGGTCTGTGAAGCAAAAGTAAAGGGTTTCACAGTCACAGGAGAATTAAAGGCATCTAAGAGCACCTTCCGAATCCCTGTCACTTTTGCAATTTTCTGTATTGTTTATTTTCCAGAGAAGTCTCTGCCAGTGACACATGGTAGATAACTTATCATTATTATTCTTACCTTGGCTGCAGGTACACAGTGTTGAGTAAATCAACCTCCTCAGTTCATGTGAGACTGCCTTTCCTGGTTCTTGTGGGGCAGGGGTGGGGAGCCTTTTTTCTTCCATGGGCCATTTGGATATTTATAACATAATTTGTGGGCCATACAACATTATCAACCTAAAAATTAACCTGCTATATTTGATCAAACATTTATTAACTCATTCCTAATGTGATGGCTGGAACTGCTCTTTTATGAGATGTGTGATGTTAGCTAGTATTCATGATGTTGCTACTTGCAACTGCTTTTCCAGGTTAGCGTCTGTCGGTCTGGAGCACAATAGACTCTTTGCGATGGTACGTTTTGAAAAAAACTGCTTGAAGCAGCAAGTTGTTCCAAATACAGATGCATATTTTAATGCATGTCTTTTCAAAGTGGAAATTCATCATTGTTTATGTAACATTTATAGAACTCAAGCAGTAGGAAGTTGTTGTACCTAGCTTTCAGTTCATTATTGCTTTGCAACGGAATAATTTCATGTTGTAGGTTATCAGGCCCATCAGCTAGTTCCATATTGAAGGCTCTAGTAAAGATGTTCAATTTTGTTTGTTTATTTGTACATCCTTGAATCTTTCATTAAATGTCTCAATTCATTTAAAACATTCACCAGTATATTCAAGTGTCGTAGAAGGAGTTTGTCCTTCCAGAATGGGGCAATGTACCATGTTATTCCTTTCGAATTGCACTTTCCACAGCCTTAATTTAGCTTCAAATGATTTCACATTGAAAACAGGGAGCTGAGAAGCTGGTTGGGGCCCTGCAGCTTGATATTCAGCTATGAGAGGTCTTGGAAACCTCCACCATAAGTGCTAAATCACACAATCACTTGCTATCATTGAGTTTCCTGATAGGTTTTCCTTCATCTCCATGAACTGCTTGACTTCATCCTGCAGTTTGTAAAACCTCATAAGCATGTTTCCTCAACTCAGCCACTACACTTCACAGTGATAAATAAGATCTCCATGAAGTGCTTGACCTCCTCCTGTAGTTTGTAGAACCTCATAAATATGTTCCCCTAACTCAGCTACCTCACTTCACAGTGATAAATAAGATCATTGTAGTCAGAGTCAAGATCATTCAGTAACTCCTTAAACTGGTGGCTGGTAAACCCTTTGCTTTTGACAAAATTTATGCATGACACTACTAATGACATCACATTGTTCAGTGCAATGACTGTGCACAGAGACTTTCTTGGTGTATGATGCAGTGGCATATAATTAAATCCCTTAGATCAATACAGATCATTCAGTTCTTGACAAATGCAGTTAACTCTTTTTGCAAGCCAACTATGGCTGGAGCTCAAGTTTAGCTTTTTAAATGTTGGCTCAAGTTTTTTCATTGATAAAACAAGCCTCCCAAACAAGTTCTCACCTTTTGTAGTGCCATGCATGCATGGCTTCCAGTGAAAGCAGTTCCTCTCATGTGTCCAACAGTCAGTTATCCCATAAATAAAAACAGCCAGTTGGGCAGTATTTGTTATTCTGTCGTCTCATTACAAGCCAGAGAGAAAAATTATACATCTGCAGAATCCTTCTGTGTTTTTTCAATATCTTGTGCTAAATCAGTAATTTGATCTGAGATGATTCTCTGAGACAAAATAAAACTCTGATACAATTTGACTTTGTCTGGTACTAACAACTCTGTAGCAGTCACCATGCACTCTTCCACAGACTCTCCCTCTACATGAGGCCTCAGCTTCTTTGTGATTAATTCACTCACTATATAACTTATTTGAAGAACATTGTCTCTGTCATAACAAGACCTAGTGAAAGTGACTTGTTGTGATTCCAAAGTCTGCTTAAAAGCATTGATTTTATGCAGATGCATTTGACCTCTCAATTCATTGAGTTTAAAATGTTTGAAAATGTTTGAGCTGTAATGATGCTCTAGACTGGCTTTTTTTCATTACTGTTAGCACATTGCCACACACTAGGCACACAGGTTTGCCTTTGACTTTAACCAAAAAATAATCATTTGTCTATTTCTCTTGGAAAGATTGACACTCTGCATCAACTTTTCTTTTCTTCGTAGTTGCCATTTTTAGGATATGACACCACTTAAGTTGTAATAACTATCCAGTGTGGGTGTCACCAGTGACACATTATTTTACTTTGATTGCTGCTCTAATTCTGCATCTTGGATTTGGAACATATCCAGTGTTCATGTCATCAACTCTTGAGGTCTTTTCTATGTGCTATAATTTTCTTAATCTTCATTTGAGATTCAGTTTTTGTAAGGATTGTCAATCGTGGATGTGTGGTAAAGGTGCATTGGAGTTGTCATCTGTGTCAACAAAGAAGTTGACAACATTGTTGTCAATCATGGGAGGCAAGGTCATCAGTGTTGCAAGGAATCATCCCATCGCATCTTGTCTTCTCATCATCATCAGATCACTGTAGTTTCTCCACAGTGTGTTAACACTTTCACAATGTTAACTGTGAAAATGTAAACTCCCAGCCTGCCTGGCACTGACTGTCCTCTTAGTCACTGCAATACAGGCAACAGTCTATGGACAGCCATCAAGAAGCATATGTGTTTGTCCTGTCATGTACTTTTATGTGTCCTATCTATCCCGTAATGGGTGTTCCTTGCTTGTCCCTCAAAATTTACATTATTATTGTGATTCACCTAATACAAATTTATGTTGGTATAAAAAAAAGCTCCTATATTTATTTAAATTCAAGTTCTGCCTGCAATTGCCTTCACAAGGCCAGACCAAAGGATTTTGCAAGCCTTATCAGGCCCATGGGCTGGACATGCCCCACCCTTTTTGTTGAGCCTCACTATTTATTTATTTATTTTAATACTCATCTGAGGATATTTTTCCATTTATCTTCAGATAGATTGGGAGGTGTGGGGAGGGAGAGAGAGAGAGAGAGAGAGAGAGAGAGAGAGAGAGAGAAACAGCAATGTGAGAGAGACATATCAATTGGTTGCCTCCCACACAACCCTGACCAAGGGACCAAGGCTGGGGACCAAAAAACAACTGAGATATGTGCCCTTGACTGGAATCAAACCCATGACTCTTTGGTTCATGGGCAGATGCTCTAACTGCTGAGCCAAACTGGCCAAGATATTACTGTTTTTGTTTGTTTGTTTTGTTTTGGTATCCTTATTCATTCATTCTTTTGTTTATTTGTCCATTATCCATTCATCCATCTTTGTTTATTCATTTATTCTTCAATCACTCCATAACCCATTTTCATCTTACTCATAGGAATGCAGATAGCTTTTATAGGAAACAGCTTCTTGTGTTCCCTCTGCTTCCATATCTGTGACCATGCTTACAGTAGGGTGGCCTTTCTGGGCATTTAAGTGCGCCCCAGGATAATAGAATTTCCTCTGCATGGTCAAACATGAGCAGGCATCATAGAAATTAGGTCAGTAGATTCCAGAATTAGTTTAGAAGATTGTGTCCCAACTGACCCCTCCCTGACCCTTCTGATATTCCCTGAGATTCTGAGCTACATCAAAGGTCAGATGTTGACCTGGTTTTTAGATCAAGTCTTCAGGACTCAGGGCCCATGAGTATTTCTAAGAACTCCCATGAGTATGTCATTCCCATGCTACACTGCTGTCAGGGCAAGAAAGATGGGCTTAAGACCCCCACCCAAACCCTATTAGGCTTTACCTGTGTCAAGAACAGGCAGCCCTAGAAATGTGCAGGGAACAGATGATGTGGCATAAATGTCACTGGGTTCAAGGCTTATGCTACAAGGGGTTGAAAAATATTCTGCCTTCTGTTTGGTGATGACAAGGAAGGGAGTGGAGAGGAGGAGCTGGACAAGGTGCAGGTCAGCTCAGAGATTCTTGAGGTCAGGGCTGCGTGGGATGTGGAGCTATAGAGCAGCTGCCACTCAGCACTTGTGTGCTGCTGGCCTCCAGGGCTAACACCAGAGAGCATGTTCCTTAAGGTGCCTTTCCTTCTGGGGCTCATTGCATTAGGGCCTCCTACCTGTAGTTCCAAATTTGTGGACATTAATAAGAGCACGGAGTTCTTTGCCATGTGTGTAGAGTTTGCCATGTTTCAGTTTAACCAAGCCTATATGGATGAGTATGCTTACAAGCTGCTGTGGGTGAGGAAAAGCCAACGCAAGGTAAGGGGTGCCTTTCTGTCTCTGAGGCTTCTTGTCCCTGAAACCAGGCCTGGGAGGGGAAAATCTTTGGTCTTTAAGAAAGAGAAAAGGACTTTTTTGTTTTGGGTAAATATTTTTTTAAAATACAAGGTATCATTACAAGTGTTTCAAGTTTCTGTTTTTTTTTCCTTTAATGACTAAAGACCCTAAAAAACAGGGTAGAGAAGGAAAGAAGATAGAAAGAAAAGCACTAGTGTCAGAGATTCAGCTGCAGTATGAGAAAAAGAAAAGCAACCTCTTAAGTGAGGTAGCTGAGAGAAGCAAGAACAGCAGAGATTGACAGGTGATGAGAAAGATGAAGAGAAGTTGTAGTTGGAAACAAAAGCCCAAGAAGGAAAGACATCACAGAGATGCCTCACTGCAGGCCTCGGCCAGGCTCCTGGGAGTCTTGCTGTGTTTATCAGTAGGCAGGATACTAAGATGTTTCCTGCTTGAAGCCAGCAGGCCTTGACCTCACAGCCTCTGTGGATCCAAGCCTGGGTGGGAGGCATCAGAGAAGATGGACAGAGATGTGTTCTCATAGGACTGTTATACTGGTGATGAGAGACAAACAGGCCTTAGTTTTTTGAGTGAAATAGTAGAAGGTTGCGACAAGAATGGTCAGTGCAGGGACTCAGGGCCATGGAGGGGGGCAAGGTATGTGGGTGAGGTCAGAAAGAGCCTCTCCATGATGGGTACTCCTGGTAGGACCAAGTCAATGGTGGAGGTTTGGGGACAAGAAGGGCAGGCAGACACAGATATCCCTGGATCAAGACAAGCCATGGGTGTCCTAGAAACAGCCTAAAAGTATCCGGACCTATGTCACAGAGGAGTGTTCAGGGGGAGGTGAAGCTGGGTCATCTTTAGAGCCATAAGTGAGGAGTTGGGATATTATTCTCATAGTGATGAGGACCAATGGGAGAAAGTAACTCAGATACTTTAGCAACGTCTCTCTGGATGCTGTGAGCATAGTAGGTTCCACAGCCCATGGGCGGGCTGAGACCATGAGGAAAGGGTGGCTTCCTGGGCACCAGGAGGTAGAATTGCTTGCTTCTGGGTCTTTTTAAAGGTGGATGTGGGGTGCGCTGATGGAAAAAACAGTGTGGTCAAGGGTGGACCCAAGGTGTTTGCCCTTGAGCATGTGGGTGGCCAGTCACTCAATCACTTAAAAGACAATGGAATAAAGTGGAAAAATCTAGGCAGAACAGATAACTTTTAGTATTTCTGAACCAGCTATAAAAGATCAAGAAGGTAGTACATTATAGGGCTTTAAGGATTGGAAGAGGTTGGGCTGGAAATAAATGTAGGTGTCATTAGTATCTGATTGTGCAAACCTTCCCACTGGTGTTTATTCTTACCGATTCCTGCTTACACTGAATTGATAAAGAGTGCTGTCCTCAAGTCATTGAGTCCATTTCCAGATTCTGGTTCTCCATAAACAGCCCTGAGCCAGGTACCATGTTGTCAGGATCCCACCACTGACCATACTCTGGAATAGACAGACAGGAGAGTGGACCTCACTTGCATGGGGACACCGGCTTTCCTCAGTATTTTCCATTTTTTGATGTCTGCCTCTTCCTTCTTCTGTACCTGGGGAGGCCATACAGGCCCCTTGAACACCAACACTACTGCCCCTGCACAAGATCCTGAATCTTGTCCTAGTCCAGGGTTTGATGATTTTTCAGAGAACCTGGGTATGTGTGAGTGTCTATGTGTCTGAGTGTGTTGTTGGTGGGTGTCCAGGCATGGGTAGGTATCATGTGTCAGCTGCAGAAATTCTTGAGCCCCAAACAAATCAGCTTTCTAAAAAATTCCATGTCAGTTCAGTGAGGGAGGCATGTTCCTGCCTGCACTGATTTTTGGCTAGATTTGTTCTGTGTTTCAATTCTTCCTTAGTTTTTATGGATTTTATTTAAAGAAAGGAAAACATAAGTTTTTTAAATCTTTATTTTTTAAACTATTTTCTTTCTTTTTTTATAAATTTTTTATTAATTTTTTTGTTACAGATATTTTACCTTTTTTACCCCATTGGCACCCCCCACGCCACCCCACCTCCGCCCCGTCCCCGGCTTAGTTGTCCATGTCCATTGGTCATGCATACATGCATATAAGTTCTGTGGTTTATCTCTTCCCACCCCCCACCCAGCCCCACCCCCTCTTCTGAGGGATGTCAGTCTGTGCCCTACTTCCATGTTTCTGGGTCTACTGTATTCCTCAGACTGTTATGTTCATTATATTCCGTATATAAGTGAGATCATGTGGTATTTGTCTTTTTCTGCTTGGCTTCTTTCACTTAGGACAATACATTCCAGGTCCCTCCATGTCATCTCAAAGGATAAGAGATCTTTCTTTCTTACCGCTGCATAGTACCCCATTGTGTATATGCACCACTGATTTTTTATCCATTCGTGTACTGATGGACACTTGGGCTGTTTCCAGATCTTGGCTATTGTAAATAGTGCTGCGATAAACATGCGGGTACATATATTCTTCCTGATTGATATTTCAGGCTTCTTAGGGTATATTCCTAGCAGTGGGATCACTGGATCAAATGGAAGTTCAATTTTTAATTTCTTGAGGTAACACCATATTGTTTTCCATAGCGGCTGCACCAGTCTGCATTCCCCCCAGCAGTGTATGAGAGTCCCCTTTTCTCCACACCCTCGCCAACATTTGTTGTTTGATGATTTGTTGTTGGTGGCCATTCTGACAGGTGTGAGGTGATACCACATTGTTGTCTTAATTTGCATCTCTCTGATGATTAGTGATGCTGAGCATTTCTTCATATGTCTTTTGGCCATTTGTATGTCCCGTTTGGAGAGGTGTCTATTCAGCTCCTCTGCCCATTTTTTAATTGGGTTCTTTGTCTTCCTTTTGTGGAGTTGTATAAGCACTCTATATATATTGGAAATTAACCCCTTATCTGATACATCATTGGCAATGATGTTCTCCCATACAGTGGGTTGCCTTTCCATTTTGATGATTGTTTCTTTTGCTGTGCAGAAGCTTTTTAGTTTGATGTAGTCCCATGTGTTCATTTTTCCTTTGTTTCTGTTGCCTTAGGTGATGTATCAGTGAAAATTTTGCTCCGTATGATGTCCGAAATTTTGTTGCCTATATTTTCTTCTAGAATTTTTATGGATTCACGGGTCACATTGAAGTCTTTTATCCATTTTGAGTTTATTTTTGTGTATGGTGTAAGTTGATGGTCTAGTTTCATTTTTTTGCATGTAGCTGTCCAATTTTCCCAACACCATTTATTAAAGAGCCTGTCTCTACTCCACTGTATGCTCTTGCCACCTTTGTGAAATATTAATTGAGCGTATTGCCTTGGGTCCATTTCTGGGTTTTCAGTTCTGTTCCACTGGTCTATACGCCTGTTCTTGTGCCAGTACCAGGCTGTTTTGGTTACAGTCGCTTTGTAATATAACCTGATATCTGGTATTGTGATCCCACCTACGTTGTTGTTCTTTTTCAAGATTGCTGTGGCTATTCGGGGTCTTTTTAGGTTCCATTTGAACTTTTGAAGTATTTGTTCTAGTTCTATGAAATATGTCGTTGGTATTTTGATGGGGATTGCATTGAATCTATAGATTGCTTTAAGTAGTATGGACATTTTAATGATGTTAATTCTTCCAATCCATTAACAGGGTATGTCCACTTTTTTATATCTTCCTCTATTTCTTTTTTCAATGACCTGTAGTTTTCTGCAAATAGGTCTTTTACTTCTTTGTTTAAGTTTATTCCTAGGTATCTTAATTTTTTTGGCGCGATGGTAAATGGGATTGTTTTTTCAGTTTCTCTTTCTGTGAGTTCATCATTGGTGTACAAGAATCCCGTCGATTTCTTGACTTAATTTGTATCCTGCTACTTTGCCAAATTAATTTATTAAGTCTAGTAGATTTTTGATAGAGTCTTTAGGGTTTTCTATGTATAATATCATGTCATCTGCAAATAATGACAGTTTCAGTTCCTCCTTTTCAATTTGGATCCCTTTTATTTTTTCTTCATGTCTGATTGCTGTGGCTAAGACTTCCAGTACAATGTTAAATAAGAGTGGTGAAAGTGGACATCCCTGTCTTGTTCCTGTTCTTAATGGAAATGTTTTTAGTTTCTGTCCATTGAGTATGTCCATTGGCTGCAGGTCTTTCATATATGGCCTTTATTATGTCTAGATAGGATCCCTCTATTCCTACATTGCTGAGCGTTTCAATCAGAAATGGATGCTGGATTTTGTTGAATGCTTTTTCACCATCTATTGATATGATCATGTGGTTTTTATTCTTCATTTTGTTTATGTGTGTATCACGTTTATTGGTTTGCAAATATTGTTCCAGCCTTGCATCCCTGGAATGAATCCCACTTGGTCATGGTGAATAATTTTTTTGATGTATTTCTGGATCCGATTTGCTAATATTTTGTTCAGGATTTTGGAGTCTATGTTCATCAGGGATATTGGCCTGTAGTTTTCTTTCTTTGTAGTGTCTTTTTCTGGTTTTGGAATTAGAATTATGCTGACCTCATAGAACGTGTTTGGAAGTCTTCCTTCTTCTTGAATTTTTTGAAATAGTTTGAGGAGAATGGGTGTTAGTTCTTTTTTTGAATGCTTAGTAAAACTCCCCCGTGAAGCCATCTGGGCCTGGGCTTTTGTTTGCTGGGAGAGTCTTGATTACCTCTTCAATTTCCTTAGTTGTTCAAGTTTTCTATCTCTTCCAGGAATAGTTTTGGGAGACTGTGTGTTTCTAGAAATTTGTCCATTTCTCTTAGATTTTCAAATTTGTTGCCATATAGTTGTTCATAGTAGTTGTTAATGATCTTTTGCATTTCCGTGGTGTTGGTTGTTACTTCTCCTCTTTCATTTCTGATTTTGTGTATTTGGATTCTCTCTCTTTGTTTCTTGGTGAGTCTAGCTAAGGGTCCATCAATCTTGTTTATCTTTTTGAAAAACCAGCTCTTTGTTTCATTGATCCTTTGAATTGTTTTTTTGGTCTCTATGTCATTTATTTCTGCTCTGATCTTTACTATTTCCTTCCTTCTACTTGCTCTGGGGTTTTCTTTTTGTTTGCTTTCTAAGTCTTTAAATTGTGAGGTTAGACAGTCAATTAGAAATTTTTCTTTTTTTTTGCGGTAGGCCTGTAGTGCTATGAACTTCCCTCTCAGAACCGCTTTCGCTGCATCCCATAGATTTTGTGTTGTTGTGTCTTCATTTTCATTGGTTTCCAGGAAGTTTTTAATTTCTTCCTTGATCTCCTCGGTGACCCATTCATTGTTTAATAACATGCTATTTAGCCTCCATGTGTTGAAATGTCTTTGCATGTTCTTGTTGCAATTGATTTCTAGTTTCATGCCATTGTGATCTGAGAAGATGCTTGATATGATTTCAATCTTCTTGAACTTGTAGAGATTTACTTTGTGTCCTATCATGTGGTCTATCTTTGAAAATGTCCCATGTGCACTTGAGAAGAATGTGTATTCTGTAGTTTTTGGGGTGCAATTCTCTGTAGATATCTATTAAATCCATTTGGTCTAGTGCTTCATTTAGAGTCTCTGTTTCCTTGCTAATTATTTGCCTAGAGGATCTATCCAGTGCTGTCAACGGGGTGTTGAAGTCCCCTGCTATGATTGTATTGTTGTCGATTTCTCCTTGGAAGTCCTCCAGAAGATTTTTAATATGTTTTGGTGCTCCTATATTGGTTGCATATATGTTTATGAAGGTTATATCTTCTTGTTGGATAGATCCTTTCAATATTATATAGTGGCCTTCTTTGTCTCTAGTTATGCTCTTCATTTTGACATCTATTTTATTAGATATGAGAATTGCTACCCCAGCTTTTTTTTGCTTTCCATTTGCTTGGAAAAATTTTTTCCATCCCTTCACTTTCAACCTATGTGAGTCTTTTGATGTGAGGTGGGTCTCTTTTAAACAACATATAGATGAGTCATGCTTTCTTATCCAATCAGCTACTCTGTGTCTTTTTATGGGAGCATTCAATCCATTTACATTTAAGGTGATTATTGATATGTACTTATTTATTGCCATTTTTGTTTAGTGTGGTCCTATTTTTCTTCCCATTTCTACTGCTAATTATAGCAGTCCTTTTAACATTTCTTGCAATGCTGGTTTGGTGCTAATGTATTCCCTTAGACTTTTTTTGTCTGGGAAGCTCTTTATTTGATCTTCTATTTTTAATGATAGCCTTGCTCGGTAGAGTAGTCTTGGATTCAGATTCTTGTTTTTCATGACTTTGATTACTTCATGCCATTCTCTCTGGCCTGTAGTGATTCTTGTGAGAAGTCAGCTGAGAGCCTTATGGGGTTTCCTTTGTAGGTAACATGTTGCTTATCTCTTGCTGCTTTTAGGATTCTCTCTTTGTCTTTAATTTGCGGCATTTTAAGTACTATGTGTCTTGGTGTGGGCCTGTTTGGGTCCTCCTTATTTGGGACTCTCTGTGCTTTTTGAACTTGAATGCATTCTTCCTTCACCAAATAGGGAAGTTTTCTGTCACTATTTCTGTCTTCCTGTTTTTTAATAGTTTTTTCCTTTTGTTTTTCTGATTGGTTGATTTTTTCTGCCCTGTCTTCTAATTCACTAATCCGGTCCTCAGCTTCCTCTACTCTGCTTTTTAAACCTTCCAATGTGTTTTTCATTTCTGATATGTCATTTTTTATCTCTTCTTGATGGTTTTTAATTTCCAATTGGCTTATTTTCCGTGTCTTTATGTCCTTACTCATGCTCTTCAGCTTCCTCAAGATCATGGCTCTGAATTCTAGCTCTGTTAACATGCCTAATTGCTCCACATTGATCTCATCTTCGGTGGAGGTCTCTTGCTCTTTCATTTGGCTTCTGTTTGTGTGTCTCACCATTTTGGCTATCACTGTGGGCTTTGGAGCCTGTCAAGTTTTCTCTGTGGGTATTGGTGTTCGGCTGTTTGTGGCTCCCTCTCCTGTGTTTAGATGAGCGAAGAAGGACCCACGTTTAATACCAGTGTCAAGTCTTACTTTCCTGGTTAAAGTTGCCTGACCAGGAAAGGTACTGTTATCCTCCGGCTTTTTGCCTGGAGGCTAGCAGTTGAGGTTACTTGATGAGTTTTGGGTTGTCAGTTGATTGAAAAGCTCCCTCAGGTGCTCAGTACAAAGGGATTTCCCGAGGGTGGGGGAGATGCTGGTTGTTAATGAGCCTCAATTAGCACTTCAATGGCCCACAGGGTGGGGTTGGATCTCTGAGGGAGGGGCTGCTGGCTCTCCTCAGAGCCCTGGGAAGGAGCAATATGCCCACCATCCTGCGTGGCTACACTCAAGAAAAGCTCTGAGCGCCCTCCAAATCCCGAATGTCCCGAAACAGTTCCAGTCCAGTCTGCCCTCCCTCTGCCGGAGCCCGAGGTGAGTGACTGTGGCTGTTTTAGCCTCTGTCCTGGCTCTGCGCTGTGGAGCCACCTGGAAGTGTAACCTGAGGGTGCTGCTCCCAGCTAAGGCCGCATCAGAGCTGAGGACCGTGGGCTCCCACCCCCTGTCTCGCACCTTCGCAAGCATACCCGGATGGAGTCAGTGTCCCTTGTTGTATGGTCCTCGCAAGCTGCTTTTCTGTTCGTTTTTCCTGTCGGTTTGTCTGTGTTATAGTTGTAATTCCAGTTTGGTTCTGGGAGACGGTCTGTGTAGCCTCCGTTCACTCCGCCGCCATTTTTCCTTTTCTAAACTATTTTCTTATTGATTTTAGAGAAGTATAAAGGGAAGGAGGGAGACACACAAACACACACACACACACACACATTGATATGAGAGAGATACATCAATTGGTTGCCTCCCATATGTGCCCTAACCAGGGAGCAAACCCACAACCTAGGTATGTGCCCTGACCTGAAATTGAATCTATGACCTTCCGGTGCACAGGACGACACTCCAACCACGCCTGCCAGAGCAGGAAATCATAACTTTTAATAACTTCTTATAGAAGCCTAATAAACACACAAGCAGCATGTGATTCATAAATATCACTTAAGTGAATGTCTATTAGATGAGTCCTTTTGTGCAGCCAGCTCCCACAGGAAGAGACAGCATGTTCCCATCCTCTAGGGCCCCCAAAAGAAATAGTGAAGCTCTGATGTTTAGTCAGAAAACAAGCATGCTCATTATCCTACTTTCTACAGAAGCAATCTGTCTGTGTGTTCTCCTGGTGTCCAGCTGTGCTCAGGCATAGAACTGAGTGATGGGTCATATGTCAGGTGTGGTTCCGGCATGTGTAGGCTCTTTGCTGTGGAGCTTTCCTTCCTGTAAAAATATCTCCCTATGTTCATGGCATGGCCATCAGGGGGAATGTGGCAGGGGAGATTCTAGAGCATGCTGGGGAATATCAAGGAATGAGTGAAATAATAAATACATTAAGAGTAAGAAAAATAAAGAAAGTGCACCTATGTATATCATTATTTACATGCATGTACCTGCACACTCATGTCTTTTCCCCACTTTTCTATTTGGTTGTCTGTGTTTTACTCATTAGTTCACAGTATGTCATAGCAGTTTCTGCAACTTCTCTTTGACAGCAGTTTACTTGGATTTATTTAATGGACTTGGAGATGGGCCGCACAATTTGTAAAAAACATGATGAAGACATTGACAACTGCCATTTGCAAGAAGGCCCAGGCAAAAAAAAGGTATGATAATAAAAACAAAAAAGCATCACGGACGTTCTGGGAATAAAAAATAAAATCAATATCAAGAAGACCTATGAATGAAGACATAAAAAGTGTTTAGTAACACTCCTGTGTCAGATGAGGGTGTTAGCCCCTCTCCTACCAGGTCCCAGGCCTCCCCTGTAGAAGGAGAAGGTGGTCACTCTAAGCAGATAGAGCTGTTCCCAGCAGAGCAGTGAGCTGAACCCTGTGTTCCTAGCCTTACTGGATGACCAGAGATACTGTGACGACATCCTTCCTAGCTTCCTCCTTGGATGGAAACCTCCCCACAGTTCCTAGCCTCGAAGTTTCCTGAGACCTCAGGGTTCAGGAAGATGCTGTTCTGCCTGTGGTCATCACTCTTTTTTTGCTCCTATTTTTCTCAATCCTAGAAAGTTTAGTTAGTCTGGTCATCCCACCTCTCCTTCTAGCCTCCTGGGTTGCAGAGATGTGCCCTATCAGTCCAGGCTCTTGCTCATTATCTTATGAGATGATATCTGATCTATGGGACTTGGACCTTGAAGATGAGCCTCAATCAGAGTAACAATGTCAATGGGGCTGGTCTTCCCCTTCTATCTCAGCCTTGGGGACAGCCTCCCCTTGGGGTGGGTATGCAGCTTCTGTTGAGTGGATGGATGTCCACCTGGACCATCTCCTGGGCATTGTGCTGGTTCTCTAGAACCCATGGGGAAGGGGCCATTCATGCAGTATCATGTGTACTGGGAACCCCTCAAAGTCAGGTTCTGGCTCCACTGGGCATCTTCTGAAGAGCCCCTGGACTCAGGTGGGCATATTCAGGTAACCCCTGCCTATTGTCCTGGTGTAGCCTTGAGCTTCTTAAGTCCTATGCAGGCCACTGTTTTTGATTTTATTTCCATTGGTAGTTTTAAATGCATCTTGAGCTCCTATCAAGTTCTTCATGGTAAGTGCTCTCATGTGTTACATAATTCTTACTTTGTCTTGCAATTGCATTTTTCAGATGGACTGCACTTTTGTTGTGGATGCCCGACCGTGGTTTTCCCAGTTTACCCTCCTGAACAGCACCTGCGTGCAGAAATAGGTGGGGAAAGAGCTCCTGGCTTCTCATAGTAGAAGATTCTTTTCCTCTACAGAGTGACAGTAGTAAAGTCTGTGAAGCACCAGGGGAATTAAAGGCATCTCTGAACACTTTCTGGGTCCCTGTTAGTTTTGCAATTTCCTGTATTGTTTATTTTCCAGAGAAGTCTCTGTCAGTGACACATGGTAGATGATTTGTCAGTATTATTATTACCTTGGCCCTGGCTGGTTTGGCTCAGAGATTAGAGCGTTGGGCTGCGGACCAGAGAGACCCGGTTTCAGTTCCCGCTAGGGGCTTGTACCTCGGTTGCAGTTTATCCCCGGCCCTGGTTGGTCATGTGGGTGGCAGACATTTGATGTGTTCCTTTCGCATCAATGTTTCGCTCTCTCTCTCTCCCTTTCTCTCCCTCCCACTCTATCTGAACAAAAAATGGAAAATGTCCTCGGGTGAGGATAAAAAAATATATATTATTCTTACCTTGGCTGCAGGTGCACAGTGTTTAGTAAATCAAACTCCCCAATTCATGTGAGGCTGCCCTTACTGGTTTTTGTAAGTCTCATTGGTTTGTTTGTACATTAATTAATTAATTAATTAATTAATTAATTCACTCATTTTTGTTTTGGTCCATTCATCAATCCTTCTGTCCATTTGTCTATTTCTTTGTTCATTTATTCTGCATTCTCTCCATGGTCCTCTTTCATTCCACTCATAGAAATGCATACAATTATTTGATCTCTGAGCCCAGATCACAGTGTGGTGGCTTTTTTGTAGTAAGTATACCTAGCACAGGAATGGGAAGTGGGTGACAGAAGCTGACTGAAATTTCTGTCCTCTATGTACACTCATCAGAGCATCTATACAAAGAGCTGCATATTTGACATGAATATCATTTCATGTTCTCTACGAAGGCCTATAACATAGCAGCTCCAGTCACTATATTCCCACCAGCTCTCTGATACCTCTATTTCAACATCTTGGCTTAGTGGGACCTTCATGGCTATCAACACTAATCAATTTCCCTAGGACAGGCACTCTGGCCACTGACACACACCCTGATGAGCAACTCTTTCTCCTGGGGTCCTGGTGGGGAGCAACCCTGGAAAGAGAGAGAGATTGAAGGCATGAGGGGGTGGAAAGGCATGAATGAGGACAGAGACACAGTGGCAATGCCATCTGGAGGAATACTGCAGAATGGAGGGCTGCTGGGACTTCTCTTATTCCTCCTGGGTTTCTGGAAACTCTGGTTTTATTGGTCCCTTGTTGAAAGGCTGGCTCTTTTCTGGCCATCCCATTCCCATGAAGTGGTCATACAGGCTGATGGTACAGGATTTCCCTGGACAGTGGAGATAGCTCTACTGCAGACATCACAAAGACAGTGGCCTGGGTCAGCTTTGGATTTTTTTACCAATTTGTGTATACAGTTTGTAACATATGCTCACAGTATTATAGGGGCATATGTAAACTTACAAGGGCAGGTGTGTAGTGAGCAAAGCCAGAATATTGCCCACTGTTTCCTATGATAGCACTCAGGTTTGTAGCTGTTGAGCCATTGTTTTTGTGTTGAGGACAGCCAGACCCTTCCTGAATGCTAGTTGGCATTTGTCACAGGTGGAATCACCTTCACCTCTGCCTCCCATTTTACATCAGAAAGGCCTGGTATCCTCTTCTCTTTCACTATATTTCAGTTGTTTCCTACCTTGATTTGTATACTTAATTGGTTTCATTTTACAAATTTTTTAGAGACCAGGCCATGTCCTCCATCACTAGTATAGAAGAAATTTTGTGACCTAATATCAGAAATCTATATAGCCCCTAGGTGATTGGCACTTGTAGCCACGGTTGTGTAATGGTTCTCTAAGGAATTCTAATATTTAGAAATTGTGTACATCTCACTTAGTGTATTTTGTTCATAGCCTATGTCTTTCCTGTGATTCATACTCTCTCAGAAAATGGGATTGAAAACATGGCTCCATTCACTGAGTTTATACCCACAGGTTTTTGGTAGGGTTGGTACATTTTGTGCCTGACACCCCTGTCACTGAACCCATATTAGTAGTTTTTAAATGATACATCAATCACTAAAGTGTGTCACTGTGTTCTGGAGAGATCTCTCCAGATTCAGTCCAGTCACTAGTCCCAAATCAGAAGGGAGTAAAAATATACTTGGAATTTATAATACAAGCACATTATAAAAATTGACACATTTTAGAAATTCTTAAAACCCAGATTGTTTTATGGAATTACCTGGTTTAAAATGTTGAAATATATTTGCTGAGAGCCCCACCTCCTGAAATTGGAATTTAACCCAAATCCCATTACTGGGATCTTTGAGGGGAAGGTTCAAAGGCAGAGGAAAGGAGGTGAAGGAGAAATAGAAAAACAATGCCTCTGCAAATCGAATGTAGTGATGTTTGAGTAATGAGATTATCTCTGTGAATCTTCACCACCAGCCCCCTTTCCCATTTCTATATCAGGAAGCTAGTGACTAGTCTCATGGTTCTTTATTGTTTTTTTTTTGTTTGTTTTTTTTAAAAATTGAGTTCAAGGCCTACTGAATCCAGCACCTTTATTACCAATTTCCCTTTTAACTCTTTGGTTTCAAAACATAAAGATTAATCATTATTAGCATAGAAACAGAGGCTTAGAAACACTTTTAACTAACCACTTCTTATTTCCTTTTTGTGATGCTTTCTAAATATTATTTTTAGAACAAAATCACCTGCCACAGAAACTGCTGTTATTTTTCTGCTTTCCTGCCTCTCTTATGAGGTCACATGGTAAGCCCAGAAACACCATCAGTGGATCAAAACCAACAAATGTCTCAAATAATTACATTTGTCAGGGTGAGTTTCTCCATCTCCAACTGCCCCATACTCAAGTGCTGTACAACATCTGACTCAGTCTATTCCCAGCACTCCATAGACCCTGTCCCATCTCCTCTTCTTTCTCTTCCAGTTTCCTCACTGTGCCCCACTTTCAAAATCTACTACTCTTTAAAGGGTGACACCTATTATCCCTGAAATTGTTTATATTTTACATAGACCTGTACATAGCTGTTAGATAAATCTAAAATATTATCCAAATCATACAAAGACTCAAATTAGTTCTATATTTTAAAAACATAATATTTCTAGAACACAATAAAAAACAATCAGAAAAAAAGACAAGACATGATAAGACAGAACAAAGATAAATAATAGAAACACATCTGAAAAGCTATCTAGACAATGTGGTTATCAGATATAAGGACTTTAACATCCCCAAGATGAATCAGTTCAAGAAATTCAAAGATGAATAAAGCTGTATAATGAACAAAATAAACTGATGAACAAAATAGACCAGAGACATGGAAGTAGGGAACAGACTGACAAATCTCAGAGGGAAGGGGGATGGGGGCTAGAAGAGATAAACCAAAGAGTTTACATGCATATATGCATAACCAATAGACACAGACAACAGTGCTACATGGGGGGAGGGGGGGCAGGACTGGGGAGGAAATAAAATAATATTCAGAAAGCTTATTTTCAACCTTTTCCATTGGTACCTTCTGATATTGATTGCAGGAAATAAAGCATGCAAAATTTATACTAGAAGAAAAGATGCATGTTTCTAAATAAAGTGTCAGCAAACTAAATATATATATATATATATATATATATATATATATATATAAATAATACTGGCAAAGAAGTTGTAACTATCAAAAAGAATAAAAGGAAAGTCCTAGGACTAAAAAATACAATACTTGAAATGAATAATTAGATAGCCAGGTTAACCTCAGATTAGAAACAGCAGAAAGGACAAAGGGCAGGACAGAAGTGATGGTGCAGGATGAAAAGTGTGAGTAAATCAATATGAGGTTTACCCTAGAGTAAAATAAAGAGACAATGGGCAGAAGCAATATTTGTAGATGTAAAGCCTGAATTATCTAGAACTGACCGAAGACATCAAACCATTGTTTTAAGCAGTATTACAAACCTCATGCATGATAAGAAAAGAAACAACTGAGAATGAAAGAGTTAAAAATAAAATTTAAGGAGAAAAGTCTTAAAATCAGCCAGTAGTAAAAAGATGTTTTGTCTTTAAATAAGCAAACATCAGGCTTTTAGCTGCCCTCAGATAGGAAACAGTGGAAGTCAAATGATATTGCCAAGCATCTTCTAAATGATTCCTTAGCCAGCAAAAATATCTCTCAAAAAATGCATATGAAACAGTAATTTTTAACAAACAAAATGGAGTGTAATTGTTGCCAGTAGAATTTTTCTAAAATAAATCCTAAAGGGAGTTTTCTGGGCAGAAAGAAAAGAAACCCAGATGGAAACATGGTATGGTAGGAAGAAAGAAGCAACATTTAGAAGAATAAATATGTGGATAAATCTAGATAATATATGGGCTGTAAAAATGTTATTTTATTGAAAATTGTTTTTTTAAACTTATCTTTATTGCTGAATGTATTACAGATGTTTCTCTTTTTCCCCATTGACCCCTCCTCGCCGCTCCCACCCCCCTCCTGCCTTTTCCCACACTGTTGTCTGTGTTCATTGGTTATGCATATAAGTTCTTTGGTTTATTTCTTCCCACCCCCACCCTTTTCCCTTTGAGGTTTGTCAGTCTAACAACCAATTTGTACTTCTTAATCTCTTCACCTTTTTCACCTATTCCCCCTTCCATCTGGTAACCAACAAAATGTTTTCTGTATCTATGAGAATGTTTCTGTTTTGCTTGTTCATTTTGTTTGTAGATCCAGTTGTTGATATATATGTATTTATTGCTATTTTGTTTATTCATATATAGAATTAGTATACATGAAAATCATAGCACAAAGCTGGGAAAAGAGTAAATGTAGCTAGAATGATGTAAGTAAACTGAATGCTCTAATTAAAAGACACATTTAGTTTATTGTTGGAAAAACAAAACAAAAAAAAAGAAAAAAGGAAACATCTTAAATATAAGGAAACAGATTTTGGAAAAATAAGGATAGTCTAAAGTAAACTATGCCAACA